GAATTTTGTAGGTGTAGTATTAGCTATTTTAGTTTCTGTTAGGCTAATAATGTGTAGGTTGTTAGTGAGACAGTAGTTTTCCCAAAGTAGTCGCTTTTCTTGATTTTTTATATAGGTTTCCTTTATTAATACAGATACTCAGTAGTATACTTACTTGGCTGTATAAATTTTTCAATTGATTAGTTTATCTGTATTAAGTTGGTGATAAACTTCTATACTTCACAAATTATATAATTTAATATTATTTTAAATCTATTCTTTTGCATTTACAGAAATTCAACTTGACAATATGTTGGATTTTCATATGCTATATTATGATTTCTTTATAAAAAAACATATTTATTTTCTGAGATTATAGTAAGTTTAATTTTCATCCAATTATATCTATTTTTGAGTCTCTAGCTTCACTATGCTGTTTGGGTATCTAGTTATTTAGCCTTATTTAGGCTCTATCATCTCGCATTATATAGTAAAAATATACTGTAGCAGAGTTTGTAAATTTTTTTTATAGCTTTTTAGCTATATTTTTCTTTATTTCCCAATAATAACCAAAGCCAAAGTCTAGTAGTATAGTAAGTATTTTAGCAAGCTAGTTGAATCTCTTTTTAATTATTTTAAATTATTTGTATTAACTAAATCTTGTTGAGTTAAAATGACAGTATTAATCAGATCTTCATCTAATTTAATCTCAAAGACAAATTTTACTAACTCATTAGATCCTTTTGCACCTTCAAATAACTTTAAAGTAATTTTATATACTTTATTCAAATTATATAGAAGTACTTTGGAATTATCGTTATCTTTATTCTGGTCACTATCTTTATCTTTATTACTATCTTTATCCTGGTTACTATCTTTATTTTTCCGGTTGTTATCTTCAGTATTAAAACTCTCATATAGCACCACTTCTAGAAGATCATCAGTAAATTTATGCTCTTGATTATTTGTAAATCACTACTTGTACTTGAGGTATATATAATATTGCTACTGCTTATTTTTTGATTGATGTATCAATTTTTTTTCTTACTATTTATTCTTTATTCTCTCAGAACATTTGTTACATGTAGCATGTTTATGTTGCAATTTAGTAGCTGTAGGGCAACAAAAATAGATAATTTCTTTTGTTACATGACAACTACTATATAATTTTTCAGCAAGGTTTTGAGTAAAGTCTTGAGTAAGGTCTTGAGTAAGGTCTTAAATAAGATCTTGAATAAGGCCTTGAGTAAAGTCTTGAGTAAGATCTTGAGTAAGATCTTAAGTAAGATCTTGAGTAAGGTCTTGAGTAAGGTCTTGAGTAAGGTCTTGAGTAAGGTCTTAAGTAAAATCTTGAATAAGATCTTAAGTAAAGTCTTGAGTAAAATCTTAAGTAAATCTTGAGTAAGGTCTTGAATAAAGTCTTGACTAGACATTATATAAAGGTTGACAAAGTGACTTATTCTCTTTAATTATTGGATCTGTATAATGTTATACAACAGTTTTATAAAAACTAAATTATATAGAATTTTATTTTCACTTATTTTATTCTGCAAAAAAAATTACAATATTAATTTATTTTATATTTTATAGAAAATTGAAATTAAGTAACTTTATTATATAATTACTAGTATCATGTCTGACTACCTTTTTTTTGTTATGTAATTCTTTAATTACTATACATTTATTGCATAATTACTATCTAATTTCTATTATTTTGCAAATGCTAATTTCTATTATTGCATTATTTTTTATATATCATTCTTTTATCAGTCAACTAATTTGTTACACTTATTTGCATATAAATTTTTTATATATAAAATTATAGCAAAAACATATAGAATTACTTATAAACTTTGAAGCTATGATATTTCTTCCCTTACATATTAACTTTAAATTAAATTTTATAAATAAATACATCATAAAAAGGAGAATAAAATGCTTTTGAAGCTGAATTAAAATTTTGCAATTTTTGTACAATTTAAAAATGTAACTTTGCCAAAAGAAAAAATTTAACAGTTTT